TTATGAATTAACAGGTTTATTCTGGATGAGTAGTAAGCAAAGAAACCAACTTTGGTCTAAGTTTTACGATATTATTATCAATAACAACACAGCCAAAACAAACTGGTATGAAATGGCACTTAGCCTATTTGTTAGAATTGATGATAACTTCAAGTCATGGATCCTTGCTCAAGCTCTGACAAAGTATGAAACCCAAGCTGATTATGATTGGATCTTACGATATATATTGAAAACAACAAATAATTTGTTTCCTGTAGTTTTATTTACTGATAGAAACTCTGCAATAATTGCGCTGTTCAGGTTGTATACCCTCAAACAAAACATTTATTGTATATCTATCACATTGGAAAAACATTAAAAAAAAGCTAAATCAAAACTGCGTGGTGATTTGATTAAAAAAATTTTATTGAAGATTTTTTTTGTATGAGGAATAGTTGTATTCAGAAACAATTTAAATTAAAGTATTAGCACTTGCTTGAGAAGTATAAACCCTGCCCCTCCTACTTTGAAGCAAAACTTTAATCATGCCATGAGTCTTGGGCCCAATATGCAATTTTAAAAGTATTCACAGCTGGTGCTGAATCAACATGGAGGGTAGAATCGATAAATGGTGTGTTAAAAAACACCTTGATTGAGGTACTTTATTAAAGGAGCTGGTAAAGATAATTGAGCAAGAATTAAAAAGGAAGCTAGCTATAATCATGTTAGAGACTATTGTGGATCTAATCAATTGTCTGGACTTCTATCTGTTTATAATACTATTTTTAAAACTATTGATTTGGTCTTAGCAGATCATTTGATATCTATTCAACTTTTGCTTCAAAGAGCCCAAATGAATCAATCATTATTATATCAAGAAATATTGGTTATGATTGATCAGGCACATATTTAATTTATATTTGTATACTGCAAAGTTAAAATATGCAAATTTTATTTAATAAAATTTGTATGTTATAGTTTTGTGACATATATTTATTAAATAAATGCTAATAATACTAAGTTTATAAATAGGTTAAAGAACCCAATATTGAAGCTGATAGTATGATTGAACATTTCTAAATGTATCACAAATTCGACTACAAGAGCTCTTATTAGATATACCAAATGATGAAATACTAGAACTTTGGGAAGTTTTTATATTGCAAGAACTTCGTCATCTAAATTATATTATATTGTAGTTCTTAAGAGTAGGGTGAAATGATCTACATTTCAATAGTGATCACATTACTAAAATTTTTTACAATAACATTTAATTAAAATCAGG